CTATATTTAAAAATTATTGAAATGACTGGTCATTTGATAATTGAAATGACAGATCATTTGTCATTTGTCATTTGAGTTATTTGCCAGTCATAATCATTTGGTGAACACTGTCATATATTGCAAAAGAAAAACTTTCAATTGTTGCTTATTCAAAAGAAACATTTTTAAGAGATGCTGAAAAAAAATATGGAGTTCATTATTCACAAATATCAAGTTGGCATAAAAATGAATCAATTTTATTAGAAGCTAATCCTAATAGTTATCATATTAATGCTGGTACAAAACCTTTTTATTCAAATATTGAAGAAGATTTAATTAAATGGATTGAAATATACGTTAAGATGGAATTACCGTTAGCCCACTTATGATTCAACAAAAAATGAAATTGCTTGTTAATAAAGATTCACCAAATAATAAAAAATTATTCATTGCATCCCGGGGTTGGCTTGATTGTTTTATGAATCGATACAATCTTTCTATTCATTAAAAAACAAAAATTAGACAAAAGTTACCTATAGATCTTTCTTTAAAATTAGAATCATTTATGAATTTATTGAAAAATATAAACAAAAATATTAATATTACTTATCGCAAATCACAAATATGAATGAGACTCCAATTTTTTTTGATATGGTTGGTAATTTAACAGTTGAAAAGAAAGATACAAAAACCATTCATATTCGTATTACTGGAAATAATAAGAATCGATTCATTTGTGTTTTAACAATTCTTGCTGATGAAACAAAACTCACACCTATGGTTATTTTTAAAGGTAAAAAACTTCCAACAAATCTTTCATCCAATATAGTAGTTAAAATGCAAGAAAAGGGTTAAATGAGTAAAGATTTAATGAAAGTTTGGTTTTAAGAAATATGGGAAAATCATGTTAAATCTGATAAAAAATCTTTATTAGTATTGAATAGTTTTGAAGGACATAAAACAGAATTTATAAAAGAAAAATGTAAACAGATGGATATTGATTTAGCTATTATACCTGGCGGTCTTACATCACTTGTTCAACCATTAGATGTTTGTCTTAATAAGCCTTTTAAAGATCGAATGCGTAAAAAATGGCAAAATTGGATGGCTAATAAAAAATATTCTTTTATTAAAGGTGGAAATTTACAAAGGCCGGATTATAATTTAATTTGTAAATGGATTTTAGAAGTTTGGGATGATATTTCTATAGAAATAGTTTGTAATAGTTTTAAAAAGTGTAAAATTGTTAAAGATGTATAACTACTGTATTTTAATTTTAAAATATAAATTTATTTTAA